TGACAGAGAAAGACACAGCGAGAGAGGGAACACAAGCAGGGGGAGTGGGAGAGGGAGAAGCAGGCTTCCTGCTGAGCAGGGAGCCCGATGTGGGGCTCAATCCCAAGACCCTGGGATCACGACCTGAGCCGAAGGCAGATGCTTTACGACTGAGCCACCCAGGCGCCCCTCACTGGATACATTTTAAAAAGAGATAAAAGCTTTATTTTTAAATAACCAGATTTATAATACTCCTAAAGTTACATCCTTTACAACCACTTACACTTATAAAGAAAAATTGAGGATGATAATTTTAAATAGGGGATCAATGTGTGACGAAGAACATCATTTTTCAGAATTTTTATGAGTCACCCAAGCAAAAAGTTTTGAAGACCACTGCTACAGAAAATGCATAGTTCAGCCCTTTACCCATGACTCAGGTAAATGTACAGTATTAAAAGGGAAAGGTCCTGGGAAGCCTGGGTGGCTCACTCGGTTAAGCATCTGCCTTTGGCTCAGGTCATGATCCCAGGGTCCTGGGATTGAGTACTGCATCGGGCTCCCTCTGCCTGCCACTCTCCCTGCTTGTGCTCTCTCCCTCTCTCTCTGACAAATAAATAAATAAAATCTTTAAATAACAGTAAAGGTCGTAACCTATCAATTAAAAAAGTGCAACGCTACCTAGTAGCCTTCAAAATTGTAAAACATATACTTATTTTACCATGGTCAAGAAGAAATCTGAAATTATTTCAAAAGGTTCAAGGTCCTCAACCCAACCAAGAATGACAGGCACCACACAAATAAATCATGTAATCTCACGCTGAAGCAATGGAAATAAATAACTTAGAAGAGTTTTTTTCAGTAAAGGAAAAAAAATGAAATTCCATGTTCAGAAATAGATCTCAATGGCATCCTGAATGCACAGGATCCCTATCTACCTAATGGGGGAACCTATGAATTTGACTATTATTGTACAAATGGTAAAGAGTGGAAGGGATGATGGGAAGAAAAACAGGAAAAGATGTATCAGCATAAAATGTTATTCCATGGCTGACATTCATAATCACATTAGAAGCTGCACTATTATTAAAAGACTTCAAATATGGGCATAAAATACTTACACTCCAATTATCCAAAACAAAAATTTATTATCCATAAAAAGAGGTTAAAAACTAGATCATCACCCAGATAATTTCTAGCTCAGAAAATCAGTAAGTGTAACTTCACTATTCACTGGATACATGTGAGAATATATACTTAATGTATGAAATCACTTTCTAACTAAAACAGTACTATATTTTGAAAGTTCTTCCATACTAGTATATAGTGCTCCCTCTATTCACATAAAGGAATCTCCATCTTTTGTACTCGTTAAAGAATGTTGCCTGAAAATTTTAGTAAACACCAAAGTTGTTGGAAGATTAGCTTCCTTTCTGTATTTAAACATTCCAAAAGAAATTTTTTGAAGTTATGACAACTGATAGAAAAGTAATTCTAGAGCCCACACAGCAGCATCAATCCATGTGTCCGAGTGCAGGGACATAGGATTTTGCTTTGCAGGACTTTCATTTCCCTTCTACCCAACCTAGCCCATAAAGTCCAGTCCTGCAGAGTATCACACCCTCAGTATTTCTTCTTTTCCTAAGTTCCTTCTCCAAGTTCTTCCTTTTCAATCGCCTCCCCCGTTCACAGACTCTCTTCACCTATCCAGGAATCCAACTGCCCAAGTTTCCACCTCCTCTTCCCCCTCTCCATTAACACTTTCTTCCCTTGACTCTCACTTCTGCCCCAGAAGCACAAGCAGCAGGAATGCACTACACTGTATAAAGAGACAGGTATTCTGGACCTCTGGCATCCCCTTTAACCTCCCATTCTGTCCCGCCATCTATGTAGTAAGAACTAAGAGTTGTGTCAGTCAATTTTTCTTTTTTTACGAAACAAAACAATATAATATCGCCATCTATGTAAGAAACTAAGAGTTGTGTCAGTCAATTCTTTTTTCATGAAACTTAAAAACAATATAATATAGTACTAACAACACATGGTATGGAAAATACATCACAAAATAACAAAGACCGGGAAAGCACCCAGGTGAGTAGGAGAGAAAGACTTGCTTTACCCCTACACTATGTTTTCTGAATAAATTAGTGCTAGCATACACTTTTGGGGATAGAATATTTTAAATAATAAAGAATCATTCCAAAGACTCACCCAAGAAATTAGGATACAGATGGTCAATATTATCCACAACATAGTTACACTTGGGACATCTATTATTATCCTCCAAACTCTGATGAATACACTTGTAGCTATTAGCAGAAAAAAAATAAAATAGGGTTCATTAAATCAGTGAAGGATTAATAAACTGGTCATAAAATAATGCCTATAAGTCTTCTATTTCTCATTTAAAACAAGTAATTTGTTATCAAATTTATTTCAGCTTATATTTTATAATAAAGATACATAGAGCATTTATTAGATAACAGTATACAAACGTTAATATTTAAAGATGAACTTGAATAACAAGTCTACTGGATATAGAATGTTTAAAAAAATGTACTAAGTTTATGCAATTTAAACACTTTGTAACAACACCCAAGAAAAGCAAATGCCTATGACTTAGTTAAGCAAATACACTATTCATGTTCTGGGAGTGCTGATATCCTTAAATACAAAAAGAACACATTCAAATAAAAAAAAAGAAAGTGAAAAACAGAAAAATCAACAAGACAAACATTAGTCAATAAGCATGAGAAAATCATCACCTTCAGTAGGATAAAAAAATTGATTTTAAATTATATACTATTTTTTACCAAACAAAGTGGAAAATTAAAGAAAATACTATCAGAGTTAAGGAGCACATGTGAGTATAAACAACTTCATGTACTGTTGAAGTAAATGTAACTGCCACATTTCCAGAAGGCAAGTTGTATGGAAAACCTTAAGGTTGTGTATCCCCTTTGATGTAATGATTTTATTTCTAGGAATTTACCCTAAGGAAATGAGCAGAGGTATATACATAAAAAGGTGCTCAATTCAAGATTATCTGTAAATAGCAAAATAAATTAGAAGCAACCAAAACACTAGGAAATTGACTAAATAATATTGTAAACATCAATCCAAAAAAAATTCCCAAAAAATCATATTGCAGTACATAACTATATGCCATGAAAAATAATCTAATAACACTGGTTATAGCTAAAGAAAGAGGATTACAAGAAATGTTCCCTTCCTTATGATATATATTTCTGTAATGTTTGACTTTTTACAATTACATATTGTCTTATAATAAAAAAACTTTTTAAATATTGTTCAACTAGGGGAGTCTGGGTGGCTCACTCAGTTGGGCTCTGCCTTCAGCTCGATCCCAAGGTCCTGGGATCGAATCCTGCTTTGGGCTCCCTGCTTAGCAGGGAGTCTGCTTGTCATTCTGCCACTCCCTCACTCCCGGCTCATGCTCTCCCTCTCTCAAATAAATAAAATCTTTTTTTTTTAAAGATGAATTTTTCTAAAAAGATTTTATTTAGGGGTGCCTGGGTGGCTCAGTCGTTAAGCGTCTGCCTTCGGCTCGGGTCATGATCCCAGGGTCCTGAGATCGAGCCCCACACTGGGCTCCCTGCTCCGTGGGAAGCCTGCTTCTCCCTCTCCCACTCCTCCTGCTTGTGTTCCCTCTCTCGCTGTGTCTCCCTCTGTCAAATAAATAAAAAAATAAATAAATAAAATCTTAAATAAGTAGGCAGAGAGGCACTCAGAGGGAGAGGGAAAAGCAGGCTCCCCGCGGAGCAGGGAGCCCAATGAGGGGCTCGATCCCAGGACCCTGGGATCATGACCCGAGCCGAAGGCAGCCACTTAATCGACTGAGCCACCCAGGTGGCCCTAAATAAAATCTTTAAAAAAAATATATTGTTCCAAAAAACCACGAAAAATATCAAATTGACATTAGAAAAAAAAGTCACTAGATCACTTTTTATGAACTAAAAATGACAATCTCTAACATAGTGGATACAGTACAATCACATTTCTGTTTTTAAAAAACTGCATATGTATCCATTCAAAATAAACCAAAAAGGCATTCATCATAATATTAACATATATGTCTCTGGGTCATAAAATCATGGGAAACTTTTTCTTTTTAGATATCTACAAGTTTCTATAGTAAAAAGGCACTGCTCCTAACAATCAGAAAAAAAATTACTTCTAAGAAATTACAAGGGTGATTTATAAAGAAGAGTCCTAAAAAGATACCACCTCTTTTATTCTGTATCCAAATTACTATAAATTTACTTCAGCTTTAGAAGTTGAAGCTTTTTTTATAACCCACTTACTTCACTCTACCTTATGAAAACAGAAACCTACATCCATCAGGTTTCTCTGTACTAATTAACAACTACTTTTTCATCTCACATTTGGTACTTTCAAGATAAGTTTAAAAAGGACATCATAGGGTGCCTGGGTGGCTCAGTCGTTGAGCGTCTGCCTTCAGCTCGGGTCATGGTCTCAGGGTCCTGGGATCAAGTCCCACATCAGGCTCTCTGCTCAGCAGGAAGCCTGCTTCTCCCTCTCCCACTCCCCCTGCTTGTATTCCCTCTCTCGCTGTGTTTCTATCAAAATAAAAATAAAATCTTTAAAAAATAATAAATAAATAATAAAAAGGACATCATAGAGAACTGATGCAGTGCTGGTCTTTGGCACAGCACAAGGACCTAAAGATCTAAGTAAATGGCTGGCACATAACAGATACTCAAATATATATAAAACAAATGACTTGTACAGTGTTCGAGAAATAATAACATCACCTCTTGCAACTATGACAAGGTTAAGATTACCATATTACCAGATGATAGGTTCCATATCTAACAGAAAATTTCCTATGTAGAAATTTCAGTGAAGGAAATAATATATAAAATGTTGTTTTCATTTCTATTGCAAGGGAAAAGCATAAAGTAGTTATGCAATTCCAACATTGAAACACTTAAGAGTCTGCTTAGGGAAAACGGAAATGAGTTCATATTACCAGAAAATACGCCCAAATGACAAGATTTAACCCTTAAAAAAGTCTGCAAGTTCAAATAAATCAAGTCATGAAGTAGAAACTCTGGGAAGGTTATTAAAGATGAGACAAGGGGTTGACAGATAAGCAGAAGGGCATTCTGGGTTTTAGCAAATGGCTTTTGTAAAGAAATGATAGTTAGAAATGAGCAAATAATATGGCAAGAAGAACAAGCTAAGTGGTTAACTGAGTGAAAGAGTTTGTCAATATACAAGAAATTATCCCAGAATCCAATAGAATATCCTCCTCTCCTATCTTCAGCATCCTAATCATATCCCTTGTCAGTAGGTTTACTACCACACAATCCTCTCCTAGAAGAAAAAGTAGTCCAGAACACAGTGAGAAGGAACTGTCCTCAGGAACAAAAATTCAACTGACTTTTGCACATTGCATTGGTAATATCTATCTATACCATAAAATAAAAATGCATCAAATTACATACCACTGTATAAAACTGACATAACAAAATGCATCAAGTTTATCTTGTAGTATCCACTACCTCACTACCACCCCTGGGCAGACCTGCCCTAGTTTGAGAAATAGTAACTATCTTATTTTGTACTGTCATCCCCTCTTCTATTTATTCATTCAAAGCAAGGATTTGTTTTAATTCATCTCTGTACCCTCAATGTCTAGCACAATATCCTGTTAGAGTTGAACTAAATAAATGTTCAATGCACAAAAAAAATAGGTATAAACAAAAAAGAAACATGTCTTCTGGGTCATATAAAACACCACTAAAAATTCTCAATTATTTCTTTCACAATAACTCTACTTGACCATCACCACCACAGATGTGGTATTTTGGATTCTAAAAGAAGGATAAGTATCTAGACTAGTGTTCAAAATAGGGGGGATAAAGGGATATGTATCTTGGGTCTACCTGAGAAGTTTTCAAAAGCTACTCACACTGAAACTCTTAAAAATAGTAATTCAGGGGCGCCTGGGTGGCTCAGTTGGTTAGGCGACTGCCTTCGGCTCAGGTCATGATCCTGGAGTCCCGGGATCAAGTCCCACATCGGGCTCCCTGCTCAGCAGGGAGTCTGCTTCTACCTCTGACCCTCCCCCCTCTCATGCTCTCTATCTCTCATTCCCTCTCTCTCAAATAAATAAATAAAATCTTTAAAAAAAAAAATAGTAATTCAGTACCAGAATGTGCTGACATAAACGCATTTAAGTGTATATCTGATAATGAAGAATGAATATTTTGAAATTTTGCCCTTTGTAACAACATGAATGGACCTCAAGGGTATTAAACTAAGTGAAGTCAGAAAAAAACAAATACCACATGATTGCATTTATATGTGGAATCTAAAAACAAAACCAATGAACAATCAAACAAGCAGAAACAGATTCATAAATACAAAGAACAAACTGGTGGTTGCCAGAACGGAGGAGGATGGGGACATGGGCAAAATAGGTGAAGGGGACTGACAAATACAAACCTCCAATTACAAAATAAGTAAGTTACAGAGATGAAGAGAACAATATGGGGATTATATTCAATAATATTGTAACATTGTATGTGACAGCTGATACCTACACTTATGGTGGTGAGCACCAAGTAATGTACAGAATTGTCTAATCACTATGTTGCACACCTGAAACTAATATAACAATTACGTCAACTATACTTGTATAATTTTTTTAAATGAGTATTTCTCTATAAATATATTATTCTGTTTCTATTAAGTATATACCTCCCCCCAAAAAAAGTATGACCTACCTATAAGATATAAATATCTTTTTCTTTTTTTTTTAAGCTTTTAGGGCATAATTTTTATTTGGGAACTGCCTGTAATATACAGAACACTATGCCACTTTAACCATCCAAAAACTTCTTCGAATGTTTTCTGAAGCCCTCTATTCACCCACCCCCAATACACAAACTTTCTGATTTCTCCTCATTTTTCTATAAGTAATTGTAGACACTAGGGTAAATGGAGACCTTATCATAAATATCTTTTTCTCTCTCTGTAAACAGGGATGAGTACATATAAAAAACTGTGAATAATGAGAAAATTCTCAAAAAAGAAGAGACAAATCAGTACACTGGTCCTATATAATAACTGGGTATAAATAAAGACTAATAGCAAGGTACAAGATGATAAATTATTCAAAAGCCCCAAAAGACAAGCTGATACCCAGCTTTGACCACAGATATGCTGGAAGATGAACAACAGTGAGGGATGCTATTAATTATAATTAATTTGTTTTTTAAATTTTTTTTTAAGATTTTTATTTGCGAGAGAGAGAATGAGAGACAGAGAGCACGAGAGGGAGGAGGGTCAGAGGGAGAAGCAGACTCCCTGCTGAGCAGGGAGCCCGATGTGGGACTCAATCCCAGGACTCCAGGATCATGACCTGAGCCGAAGGCAGTTGCTTAACCAACTGAGCCACCGAGGCGCCCTATAATTAATTTGTAATGAAACAAAATAGTAAATCAGAACTTGGTAGACATGAGGTCTGAAAAGAAGCAAGGTGCAGGGGGCAAGCAGGAGACGGCAAAGGGAAAGAGCAAACCTTATCTCTACATCACAAAGAAGCCAGATATTTTTATTTCATCATATCATTAAGTTTGGTTAGACAACAGCTAATAGCAGAACCACTGTCAAGTGGGAACAGTATCTCCAACCTGTTACTAGGAAAGAGTTACCATTTATGAGACGAGGGATAAACAGTTCCCGTGGTCCAATCTGATTTAGTGTTAATAATTTGGACGGAGCCTGGAAATGCTAACACTGCTCTGCTCCAGATTACAAGCCAGCATTCGAGTTAGAGAAGATTTGATCCAATAGGCTACTGTTAATGAAGTTCCAATGGCCTCACGTGATAGGATAGGGTAAATAATTATGAGCTTTTGCTTTAAACAAAAGTACAAAATGTCTCACAGTTCCACAAGCCTGACAATGGACTGCCAGCCTCCAAGTTTACTAGCTCCTCTCAACCTTATGGTCTCTTATCCTACCAAAACCTGCTCTCTGGTAGGTATTTTAAAACACGTTCATATTTTAAAACACACTCAGGTTATAATATCACTTGAGTTATAACAAGGATCTAAACTTAAACTATTTTTATTTGAAGGGAAAAACATATTTATGAAACCAGTGGGGTTTTCCAATGATGACCTAAGGACACACCTTGAAAATTACAGGACTCATTGGAAAGGCCAGGCCTATTTAATTATAAAGTCAATCAGTAATTTATAACACGTCACAACATAGCGAAGCAAGATTATTGTACTTATTTAGCAGACTCTTCAGTGTCTTTTTAAAATGCCACAGTGAACATATAAGTTAGAAGAAGGCAGTTAGGAAAAATTAAATCCTCACTTTATAATTTGCACCAAACATCCACACCTTCTAAACTATAGAAGAGGAGGACGTGAAGGAGTAGAAAGAAAAGAGGGAGGAGGGCAAAGAGGGACAACAGAAGAGACCAGCTGAGCGACTGGACAAATGTAAGGTAAGTTTTAGAGCCAGAACCAGAATCCTGGTTTACCAACTTCAAGACCCTGCTCTTTTAACTCTGTATCGGTATTTCTCAGATGTGGGCAATTTTGTCCCCTACTAGATATCTGGCAATGTCTGGAGACATTTTTGGTTGTCACACTTGTGAGAAAAGGGACTGCTACTGGGTAGAGGCCAGGGATACTGCTAAACAATCTACAATACCCAGGATAATCACCCACAACAGGAATTATCTGGTCCAATATTCAATACTACAAAGGCAGAGAAAGCCTAATCTAAATCACCCAATTTTCCAGAGATGAAAATCAAAGTTCCCATGGTTTCCTATGGAATGCTATGGTGCTAGTCAATTAATGGACCAAAGGAAACACTACTGTTAAACAATAAGCCTGAAAAGACCAAGACCATACATGTATCAATCTAAAAGCAAAACACACATGACCAGAATTTCAGTAGCAATAAGGAGCAGAAAGTTATTCATGAACCATAATAATGTCAATGCAATGATATAGCAGGAAATCTAAATTATTTAAGGCAAGATGGCCTTTTTTTAAAAAACCAGCAAAAAAATTCTGAAGGACACACCATTACTCCTTACCATAACCTCTGAGGAGGGAGGCCAAAAACAAAAGACTAGAAAAATTGTGACATTTACATTTCATGTTACAGCTTTCTGGACAATAAGTCGTTTTTTAGCCAAGAGTACATACTGCTTATTTTAATAACTTATATTTTAATAAAAAACATAGTCCAAGCTAAGAAAACGATTTTTATTCTAAACTTCTTTTTAAATGACTGGCAGATTGGATATACCTAACACTGATGCATCAAGCTCCAAATCAAACTAAAATACTTACAAACTGGTAATAACACCCAGTACTTGATTAGTGAATATCAATCTACCAGATATTACATTCAACTTCAGAATAAAATTATGGGTCTGACTTCAACATGAATTAGAATACAGGGACTATTAGAACACATAATACTAAGCCAAAAATATCGTATCAACAGTGTAAATAATTTATGGACATGATCAACTGCAAACAGAATATACCACCCCCAATCAAAAAAACACACAAAAAATAAACAAAAGGAATTAAACACAGATTACATAACCATTAAGATGGCTACTATTTAAAAAAAAAACAAAAACAGAAAATGACAAATGTTGGCTAGAATGTGGAAAAACTGGAACTCTTGTGAACTGCTGAGGGAGATATAAAATGGTACAGCAGCTATGGAAAACAGTATGGAGGTTCCTCAAAAAATTAAACAGAACTATCATATGATACAGCAATTCTGCTTCTGGGTATATATCCAAAAGAACTGAAACCAGAATCTCAAGGAAATATTTAGACACCAATGTTCAAAGCACCATTCTTAACATTTAAGAAGTGAAGGCAACCCAAATGTCCATGAACAGATGAACAAATAAAATACAATATATACATGCAATGGAACACTATTCACCCTTAAAAAGGAAGGAAACTTTGACACATGCTACAACAAGGATGAAACTTAAAGACATTATGCCTAGTGAGTTAAGCCAGTCACAAAAATACAATTTGATGCCACTTATATGAGGTATCTAGAATAGTCAAATTCATGAAACAAAGTAAAATAGTGATTGAAAGAGGCTGGGGGGAAGGGAGAAATGCAGAGTTGCTCAAAGGGTATACAGTTTCAGTTTTGCAAGACAAAAAAATTCGGGAGATTGTACAACAATGCAAACAAACTTAACATTACTCAATTTAAAAATGGTTAAGATGGTAAATTTTATGTGTATTTTACCACAACTAAAAATTTTTTAAATATACAGATTAATGTGACATATATACAAGACTAAGCACTAACGATAACACTGAGCAAAATGTTGAAGAAGAAAACACAGATCTTTTTAACCCCCTATATCCTTTTCCAATGACTTTCTCACCTCCTTTACTAGGTCTCACACAATTATCCCCACAAGTGAGTTAAAGATGCTTCATCCTAATTATCTAGCACCCTTCAATTTTCTAAAACGGTACTCAAAGCTCTATAATAAATAATCAACCCAAAAGTTTTAAAATCCATCTGTAAAGGCAACGGTAAATCTAAGTATTCCACAGAAATTATGCACCAACCACATGCTTTCTGCCTTGAGCTGCTGAACTTACAAAAATGTATCAAAGAAATTATAAGATAACCAAAATTATTTTAAAAACCTAACTTCTCACTGGCTGCATTTACACAAGTTAAAAATCAAGACAATTTTGCTAAATAAAATCATCTTACCAAAAGCTGTGGCCACATTTCGTCATGTATGCTTCCTCAATCATATCAAAGCAGATAGGGCTAAAAAGAAAATAGAGAAGTAATTGATATTTTTTTTTCAGTAGAGTGATTATAAATTGGCAAGGCTGGTAACAATACCGACGAAATCATTTTTTGATACATAGCTAAGTCTTCAAACATTCTATCAATAAGACAGAATTTCGGTTGAGATGAAGGTGCTTTAGGGGATTGGTGGTAAAATGACAATTTGTTCAAGACAGTCCTAAAAGTCATCAAGCTCTAAGATGAATTAAATGAGTAAATTAAAATGGCCCCAATACTTTAACTCACCCATAATTTTTAATAATGCAATGCAGTCACGAGAGTCCTTAAAGTTCTACCATCTTTTTCAATCATCCCTATACTCAAAAGCACCTAATCCAAATGCTATTTTATTTCCTATCTAAAAAAATTAGTTCCCTGAGTGACAAATTTACAATTCCAACATCAGTAACTCTTCTATATAATGAAGATGGTAAATTATAACTAATACTTAAAATAGTACAAATGGTATCCATTAAAATAATGACATATTAACTCCTTTAATCTTTTCAACAACAAAGTGTTGGCATGTACATGTTACTAGAACTTTTAATAGAGGGAAACTGAGGCACAAAGATGTTAAAATCATACTCAGGAAATAACAAAACTGATTTTCAAACTTAGGTCCATGCTCTTAACCACCATTCTATACTAATTCCAGACATGGTAAGTTAAATACCAAGTTATACCAACATAGTTGTGGCCAACAAAAGGTAGTTAGTTGTCAATCTCTAAGAGGCCACTATCTACCAAAAAAATACAAAGTCTGAGAAAGAGATTTCCCTTTATCTTTCCCTCTTTTCCTTCTGAAAACTCTGATGAAGTCAGATACAATAGCTATCTTTTTTTTTAAGATTTATTTATTTATTTTAGAGGGAGGGAGAGCATGCGCACACTCACAAAGAAGCAGGGGTAGAGAGAGAGAATCCCAAAGCAGACTCCCCGCTGAGTGTGGAGCTTAAGGTGGGAGTCGATCCCAGGACCCTGAGATCATGACCTGAGCCAAAATCAAGAATGGGCTGCTTAACCGACTGAGCCACCCATGCGCCCCACAACAGCCATCTTCTGACCAAAAAGACAAAAACCGTAAGCTAGGAAGACAGGATACTGGTTCCTTGATGACATCCTTCAGCAGCTGCATCAGCTATGGACTGCCTACCCCTGGAATTCACATTACATGAGAAAAGTAAATTCTCACTTGTTTAAGGCAGTATTTATCAAGTTTTCTGTTACTGGCATACATATCCAATCCTTACTGATAATACACAATAACACTTAAAATTATAAAATGAAAATTTACCCACTTCTTCAAGCAAAATCTCCTGGGCATAATTACTATCTCAGAATGTGAAATCATAAAAAAAAAAAAAAAAAGGTTACAAAATCCCAATGTTGCACAAGCTCAGAGTTTCAACACAGGCAGTGTGTTGGCTTAGACTGTGTTGTTTTGTCAGCCTTCACTCTTCTGGATTGAGAAAAAAAAAAGGTCTCTCTCAATGTGGAGATTTGGTAATTTCTCTTTTGAAACAAAGTCCATCTTATTCCTGCTTAATGAAGTTCAGAAAGCAAGGCTGGGGACCCTCCTAAGAGCATGTGGATGAGCTGTGTAGGCTGGTCTGTGATCCAAGGTTGTGGATGAAGGGTGCTGAAGAGCAGATTTGGGAAGGACAGATTTTACTTTACAGGTACAGTTCGTCACTGTGTGCTCACGCAGATGTCTTAAGGCTCAAAATCCAGAGTGGAAGCAACATTTACACACACCCCCCCTTTTTTTAAAGACTTTATTTTCTTTAAGAGCAGTTTAGGTTTACAACAAAACTGAAAGGAAGATACAGAGATTTCCCATATATCTGCTGCCCCAAACACATGCATGGCTTTTGCCATTATCAACATCACTCACCAGAATGGTACACTATTTTTCCCCCAAGGATGAATTTACACTGACACATCACAATCACCAAGTCCACAATTTACCTTAAGGTTCACTCTTCATGTTGTGCATTCTGTGGGTTTGAACAAAAGCAGAGTGACATATATTCATCATTATAATATAAAGATTATTCTTCACTGCCCTAAAAATCCTCTTTGCTCTGCCTACTTATCTCTCTCTCCTCACCCACATCCACAGATCTTTTTATTGTCTCCATAGTTTTGTCTATTCCAGAATGTATAAGCATCCAAGGGCAGGTTTCTGTGTATACAGTAGCTTTTAACTCCTTTGAGTAAATACCAACGGGTACAAACAAAAATTGTATGGTATGTTTAGACTTGTGGGAAAAAAAACAAAACACCAAACTGTCTTCCAAAAAGAGGCTGTACCATTTTTTCATTCCTACCATCAAAGAGTGAGAGTTCCTATTGCTCCCTATCCTCCTCAACATTTGGTGTTGTCAGTCCTCTAAATTACAGCCATTCGAATAGGTGTATAGTGATATCTTGTTTTGATTTGCATTTCCCTAATGACATATGATATGGAGTGTCTTTTCATATGTTTATTTGCCATCAACATAGCTTCTTTGGTGAGGTGTTTGTTGAGGTCCTTTGACCCATTTTTTAATCGGGTTGTTTTCTTACTGTTGAGTTTTAAGAGTTCTTGTATATTTTAGATAAAAGTTCTTTATATGTCTTACACAAATATATTCTCCTGAGCTGTGGCTAATCCTTCCATTCTGACAGTGTCTCTCACAGAGCAGAAATTTTTAATTTTAAAGAAGTTCTGTTTGTTGCTCCTTTCTTTCTAATAGATCATGCCTTTGGTATTATACCTAAAAAATCACCACCAAACTCAAAGTTACCTAGATTTCCCCTATGTTATCTTCTAGGAGTTTTACAGATCTGCGTTTTATATTTAGGTCTGTGATACATTTTTAGCTAATTTTAGTGAATGGTATAAGGTCTGTGTCTAGATTCATTTTTTTTCCATGTGGATGTCCAGTTGTTTCAGCATCATTTATCAAAAAAACTATCTTCTCTCTCTCTGTCTCCCTTTCTTTTTAGTAGGCTCCACACTGAGCGAGAAGCCCAATACAGGGCTTGAGCTCACAACTCCGAGATCAAGACCTGAGCTGAGATCAAGAGTCAGACACTTAGGGGACACCTGGGTGGTTCAGTCAGTTAAGCATCTGCCTTCAGCTCGGGTCATGAGCCGGCTTCCAGGCTTCTCCCTCTCCCTCTGCCTCCTCCCCACTGCTTGTGCACGAACGTGCTCTCTCTCTCTGACAAATAAATAAAAACTTTAAAAAAAAAAAATACGAGACGCTTAACTGACAGAGCCACCCAGGTGCCCTAAAAAAGACTATCTTTTCTCTTTTGTATTGCCTTTGCTCCTTGACCAAAGATAAAGTGACTACATTGGTATATTTCTGAGTTCTCTATTCCTTACTACGGATCTGTTTATTCTTTTTTTTTTAAAGATTTTATTTATTTGTTCGACAGAAAGAGACAGTGAGAGAGGGAACACAAGCAGGGGGAGTGGGAGAGGGAGAAGCAGGCTTCCCGCTGAACAGGGAGCCCGATGAGGGGCTCGATCCCAGAACCCTGGGATCATGACCTGAGCCGAAGGCAGATGCTTAACCGACTGAGCCACTTAGGCACCCCTGATCTGTTTATTCTTTCATTAATACCACACTGTCTTAATTACTCCATATAGTACTTTGATTAAAAGAAAAAACTGTCCCCCTGAGTGGAACTCTATAGTCCCAATACAGATTAATTCCTAAAATTCAACTCTTAGATAGACAGTAGCAAATACCCAAATTTTGTATCACAGAAGGTCTAGATATTAACATACCAACCTTTTAAACAATTCTTCTAATAAAGCATTTTTAAGGGTGCCCGGGTGGCTCAGTCGGTTAAGCGTCTGCCTTCGGCTCAGATCCCGGGAAGCTGGGATCAAGTCCCGCATCGGGCTCTCTGCTCAGCAGGGAGTCTGTTTCTCCCTCTCCCTCTACCCCTCCGTGCTGCTCGTGCTCTCTCTCTCTCTAACAAATAAATAAAATCTTTTTTTAAAAAAGCATTTTTAAGATTTGAGGAAAGAGATCTTTCTGTTCCCAAAGTAAATATGTTTGTAAGTTTAATAATACCATCACATCTGTTTTATGCTGCATTAACTGAAGCTCAGAAGCAAGATGCAAAATGGCTTAGCCGACTGATCTCTTTGTCCAGACTTCTAACAGTGCCCCCAATGAATATTTTAACGTTGGCCCCAGCACCTAGAATGAATCACCTGTAAATACTTATCAATACTCTCTCAGAAATTCTAAAATTTTCAACAAATTTATATATTAGGTACTGACCAGACACTGTTCTGGATACCAAGGACAAAGAAGTGAATAAACAAAAACCCCTTCATGGTTCAACAATCTAGTGGAAAAGACAGACAATAAACAAGATAAATAAGGAAGACCTTATATAGTAAGATTAGATAGAGATAAATAATAAGGAAAAAACTGTAAGCAGGGAAGGAGGATGGGAAGTGTTAGATTGGGTTAGACAGGATAGTATGAGAAGCCTCAATGAGAAGCTGACATCTGAGTAACTATTTCAAAGTAGTAGGGAAATGATCTACACGGAGGTCTGGGAAAACATCAACCAAACAGTAAGAATAGTACAAATATCCTGAGGTAGTACATCTGATATGTTCAGACTACCAAGGTAGTCAGTGCAAAGTAGAATATGTGGGAAAATAGTAAAAATGAAGCCAGAGAAATAATAAGGGGCCATATTAAAAAAAAAAAAAAAACCTCTCTTAAATCATGTTAAGGACGTTAGCTTTTACAGTGAATAAAACAGGAATTTACTAGACAGTATGAACAGAAGACTGACACAATCTGACACAGTGATAAACCAGATCACTCAATCTTATACACTGAAAGTAGACTAAAGGAAAGCTATTATAAAAATAAAAGCTTTTGGGGGCGCCTGGGTGGCTCAGTCGTTCGGCGTCTGCCTTCGGCTCAGGTCATGGTCACAGGGTCCTG